GAAACAAGGTCTCACCACCAAAAGTGAGGTGGAATTCTTAATTCTCTTTAAATCCATTATATTTATCTTTTTCCTGACTTTCTTGGGGTTTTTTCTTTTTTTTTAAAAAGTGGCAATAGTTTAAATAATATAAATATAAACAACACAATTTATATTTAAATAATATAAATATAAACCAATAACCAATAGTGTATAATTTTATATTTTTCATCTACATTAAGAGGGTTTTTTCCTATCACAACTGCAAAAATTGCTTCCAGTTGAATACATTATTTGCCAGAAAGTGTTGACATATACCAATACTTACAGAAGCCACTTCCCATACCCAACAGGGTGCAGCAGTTTGGATTTACTTCTACACAAGCAAGACAGGGTGTCCCACATTAAAACCCAGGGTGTTTTAATAGACAAAAATAATCTTATACAGCAACATAATAGCAGAAGTATAATGCACAATAATTCATGCTGCATCTGGGCCACAGGCTGTCCATTGGCAGCCTCCACCTAAACAAGTGCAGAGAGATGTAATATTGTTCTTTTCAGAGCCTCTCATTTCACTGTTTCTTGATTGGTACAATAGCTGTCAACACACCCATTTTTGAATTTCACACATTTGCTTATCAGAAACCATTAGAAATACACAACAAGTTGAAGTGGTGCACAAGACAAATTTTTTTTTTTTTTTAAATCGAGCAGTGGCCTAAATTATGGGTTGCAGATAAGGTTAACCCACATAGTTTCAAATTGACCCATGGCATATGTTTCAACTCAATAAAAACTCCAGCTGGCTAAGACATGACTGTAATAAAAAAAAAAGGTATTCAAGAATAATGATGCATTTATTTTGAAATAAACCTGACACATTTATTTGTCAGAATGAAACATTTAGATATTTGTCTCTTTGTGTACTTTGCAGGCCCATAAACTGACCCAGGCAGCAAATTCCTATGAATTTATGATGTATTTGGATTTTTTCTAGACTGGTGATTTTCACAGTTTGTATATCACATTTAAACACAAGCAGGCCTTCAAAGGCCTAGCAAAGCCCTGCTCCTCTGAGCAGCTTCCCGCTGACCTGCTCCTCCCAGCTCTGGCCCTCCAAGAGGTCAGGCTCAGGACACGGCTCACAGACCATCACTGCATCCCCTTGACCCCTGGAAATACATGCCAAGTTCTAACTGGGCTCGACAACCCTCTAGAAACTCAGATTTCTTTTTTTTTTTTTTTTGCCTGCCCTGAAATTGCCAGATTCCTCAGCAAGCCTATTTCGGGGTGAAACGAAGACTTTTCTAATTAGAGCAGAACCTCCAGATCTGCCTTCACCCCGTGCACCAGAGGGAAGGCAGAGCCTGCCAGAGAGGAGTCCTGTCTAGACGAGTCTACCATCATTATGCAATGCAAGGAGGCGTGCTGTGCAAGGAGGAGTTGCTGCTGGAAGGAGAGACAGCTCAGAGTCACAGCTTCCTCCTTAAGACTCTGAAATCCAGAGAGATTTGGTTTCTCTAGTAAAAAACACCCCTTTTCTGGGGACAAACACAGCCCTGCGTGGACTTTGCTGATCTGCCCGTTCAGCGGGACAGCACACGGGGTCTGGCGTGCCAGGAGCTGAGGAAGCATCACTCAGAGCTGTCTGGTTCCTCTGGGAGCTGCCTGGTGAAAGACAACCTAAAGGATTCAGTGTGTGCCTCCAAGTGCCTGTTAAAGGCTGTAAGGACAGGAAATGCTTTCCAGACACATAGGCCTGTTCTAAGGGAATTGCTACCCTGTAGGATGTCAGACACATAATGCCAGCGCCATAAGTGTCACCAGACAGCAGTTTTCATTCACAAAACAGATGACTGATGTAATGAAAATCCAAGGAAACACATTTCTTTTAATTCCTCTTACCCCTGTATTTTTTTCCTGGGGATTTAGGAAACAGGCTTCAGGAGAAGCTTTGAGGACTCATGCAAAATCAATTGTCTCCAGCTTTCAGAGGGTGGGAAATAGCTGAAAACTTGCCACATCTTTGGTGAGCACCAAGAAAAGGATGCAAAGATAGCACAGAGCTCCAGCACAGGTCTGGTGCCCTATCCCCCTGAACCCCACAGAGCTGCCAGCACAGACCCTTGGAATGAGGAGCTGCTCTGTCCCAGGGACATATCAGATGGGATTCTTTTGCTAGGAAGGATTTCAAAACAGAAGCCTGTAAGGGAAAAACATCCTCAGTGAAGGCAGAAGAGCTGCTTACTTCCTGCAAGATCATTGTACTTTAGCAAACAAAAAAAAATCAGATACAAAGGTATTTTTTCCTATCCTGTTTGGGGCACACACACACATCAAAGAGCAGATGGAGCCAGGGGCATCTTACAAGACTGTGGTGAGACAGCCCCAGGGTGCAGCTGTGCATGGATGGCAGCAAACCTGGAGCCTTGTGGCCAGCAGCATCTCTGCTCCTGTAACTCTGACTTCACTCTGGGACTGGGATGCTTTTCCTTACCTTTCTCAGGTTCAGGAACCCCTTTCCATTCCCTTTCCCATGTTTAGAAAAGAGAACCTATTCTTCTTGGTCCTATTTCCTATTTGTTTGCTTTACATTTCCATAAGCCAAAAAGCACTGCTATGTTTGTTAGTTTTGGTGCCAGAGGAGTTTCCCTGGAGGGACAGGGTAGGTGGCTATAGACACACTGTCACAGCCCTGGGAGGAGCACTCCTCTGTGTAAGAAGGTTCAGATCTTGCTTATGTCTATTTAAATGCCTCCAGCTCCAGTTTATTTAAATACCTCCAGCTTTGTCAATGGGGAAAGCCAGGCAGCTCCAGGGGTGACCCAAGCCAAGATGGACTGAACACCACGGAGGTGAGTCTGTACCAGGCCCTACAGCAATGACCCTCCTGGTTTGGACATGTGGAGTTCATCCAGGCTGGCTCAGGGCTGCATCCAGGCTTGGGCTCAAGCTGGAATCTGGCAGAGGAGTTGTGCCCATATCCTTCAAAACTCAGACCAAAGGCTGCACCCTACTGTCCCCCAGTCCTCACTTTTTACTGTTTCTCTTGCATTTTACGATCACCAAGGTGACTTTATCCTCTTGCAGTTCCCAAGATGTGACTCCCCAAAGTGGGCTGTTTGTCCCTCCAGCAGAAAATACTCACACCAGCAGCAGAGGGTGTGGGGGCAGACACTTTTTGGGCATAAGAACTGGCAGTTTTTAGAGCCTCCAAATGAGTAGGTGACTGTGCTGAGGCTCCTTCTCCCACCACAAATCACGAAGCCAAATATCTCGGTTGCGCTGCATGTCTGCAGCAATTCCTTTCCCAGTGCTGGCTAGTGTGGGCAGGGCTCTGTTGGCACACAGATTGCCCAATCTCTTGCCTGTGTGTGGTCAAACTTAAGGGGACCATGTGCTCAAGGTGCACATGTGGGCAGGGCCCTTCTGCCACTTAGAGCCTGCCTGGCTTCACAAGGACACCCAGAGCAAACATCAACCTACCTGCAGCCAGCCAAATCCTGCAGGGATGTGAGCTCTTGGAGAGCAGGCAGGGCAGCAGGGTGGAGGTCTTGTCTGTTTCCTAGAGCAGGGAGGGAAACCAGTCAGCTGAAGGTAATAGAAATAGATGAACCTGTATATCTTGTAACCTACAAAAGAAAGGCCTTTTCCAGTGAAACAGATGGGTTTAAGTGCCATTTAAAGCAACTCCTGCTTTACCCAAGAAAGCCTCACAAACTTTGAATGTGGATTACACAAGCAGTTTATAAAACAGAGTCTGGCAACACATTTCCAACACCACAGAAAGCCTTTTTAAGCAAAGCTGAACGAGAGGAGTCAAAGTCAGCCCCTATATCCTTGAAATTCAAGCAGTGCTACTGAATTAAGCTACCTGTGGCTGGGAGCTGAACTGAAGTCTGAAATGCTGCTTCTCCTTCTGTTCCTCTGCTCCCACTCTTGGTAGCTCAGTCACTTGGAGACTTTTTAGGAACATGTAACAGCATGGCTCCATTGTTTCTCACGAGCTGTAAAGACCAAAAGTGCATAGGCAAAAGTAAACAGATTTCACAATTACAATCACAAGCAGAAGTTTCCATTGGTGACTCTAAACCTTTCAGACTCTAGCCACTGATTTAGCGTGTACTGCCTCTTAGCACCTTCCTATGTATTATTTTTCTTTAGGGACCTGACCAATGAGAGCTAGCAAGAGCTGTCAGAGACCTTCTTCCTCCTTTCTTTTGCAGTCATGTACTGAATACCAGAGTTACAACCAACGTGTGCATTAGACCTGCAAATGGTCAACAGTGCAGAAGACAGGAAATTCGTCATCATGTTTAGTGAAAAGGCCTTACACGTAGGAAAAAAAAAAAAAAAGGAATTATTTGTTCCCTTCCAGTCAAAAAATCAAAGCCGTGAAAGTGATAAGACAGTCAGACTTTGTTAGAATAATCAGTATGGACAGAGGAAAGACTGGCTTGAATGAAATTTAGAGAGAAAGATGTCCTCTTATCCTTCTTCCATGCAGAGTTGTACAATCACTGCTGCCATTTCAGAAGTGATAGCTTTGAGAAGAGCCAGGGCTGAGCTGATGGAAACACATGTATGCAACAGGTGAACACAGAAATGCAGAGGAAATGAAAATGTTTTTTAAAAGGAAAAAAAAATGAAACCCAGGGGTATAAAATAGAGTGGAGGAAATAGGGCAGAATCAAGACAAAAGGCTTCCAGCAGTGAAAGACCGGCTGCAGTTTTGGTTCACTGCTTAAGCCAGTGCTTAAGGAAGTCTGGTTCTGACAAAGGGACATTTTCAACTACACCACCTTGCTGAAAGCCCCACCCAACCTGGACTTGAATGCTTCTGGGGATGGGGAATCTACCCCCTACTCTGGGCAATCTGTGACAGTTTTCACCACCCTCACTGTAAGAACTTCTTCCTCACACCTAATCTAGTTCAACTCTCTTTTAGTTTAAACCCATTATCCCTTGTCCTGTCATAACAGGCCGTGCTAAGATGTTCGTCCTCATCTTCCTTCCAGGTCCCCTGTAAGTGCTGAAAGATCTCTGCAGAGACTTTAATAGGTGAGTGCAAAGCACTGGGGTGCTTACCCAGAACATGGATAAGTCAGCAAAACTGATGAAGCAAACTGTTCTCACACATTGGAAAGCAAAGTGACTAAAATGAAGCTGCAATTACAGGATGGGACTACACTTGAAGGTGTTTTCATGGGATAACAAATTTGTACAAATTTTCAGTCTCTATTTTCTATTTCTCAGACCAGATTTTTGGTGTCTCTTTCTGGGATGGAGTGTTTCCACAGCTGTTCTTTATCTTTTCAACCTTCCTGCTAACAGGCAAAAGGAAAACAGAGTGAAATAATGACAAATAAAGGATTTGCAGGGGTATAACTCTTCTTACCTCAGCGTGGCCACTTCTGTCATACCCTAGTGGCAGTGAACTGGGGCTGGACCAGGTTACTGCCCACTGGGTTTGGACATGGCTCTGACCAGCACTGCCTCCTTCCAAGAGAGCAGGAACAGAGTCCTTTCAATGCCTGTCTCTTATGCCACGCAATTCAGAAATCCACGCACAAGTGCAAACACCCAACTACCACTTACACAACCTGAAGGACCGTTCCTGAGGAGATTAAGAGAGGAGCATAAAGATGAGGGCAGTGAATTTTGTGAGTGTCACCTTAAAGTAAATATTTGAAGAACAAACTGGAATTCAGCAAGCTTGAGCATTTTATTTCAACGGAAGTATGTTAGGGATAGCTGAAGCTGGTATCAGGGTGATATAGAAGAATTAACCATGTCCTGGCCAGAACTAAGACTGGATAGTTTGGGCAAAGCAAGGGAATGACTGAAACTAAAGCATGAGGAAGGAAGATACAGTCATAATCAGATGTCATTTCAGCATGATGCTGGTTTTCAGACCAAAAATAAAACCAACAAATCTTCCAGTTGAGTATGCACAGAGCATAAAAATATTAAAAAATGTTTAGGCAACAAGAAGCTATATGAAGGCAAAAGATTACTTAATTACAAAGGAAATCTATGTTTCTCTGAAGGTAGTTGTACAGCACCCAGTGGTTTCAGTGGAGTAGGCATTCAGGCTGTTTGTTGTAGCCCGAGACTCCACTTAAACAGGAGGAAGTGGTTTTCATGTCAGGGATGATGAATGGGGAATCACTTCCTAGAGCCAATCCACCCCATCCCTTCTAGGGAGTCAAAGAGGGCAAAACTGGATTTTTTACAGTTGAATTGGAAAAGGTGCCAGTTTTGGGCCATAGAGATGGTGCTATTTTGTGTGCTTGCTCTCCCCTGCTTGAGAAATGCTGGGCAAACAAGGTTCTTTGGTTTCTGGGTGCATTTCTTTATAGGTGGAGAAGGATGGATCTTGCAGCCTTTAACAAGGAAAACAGAACAGAATCTACAACAAGAGGAGGAAACACTTGTAGATGTTTTTTCTTCCAGATGCCCATTCAAACATTTCAGCTAACATTAAAAAAAAAAAGCTTAAAACAGACTCACCAAAATCACTTTTAATCAGGTTTTGTTTCCATGGCACCTTTGATGTCATAAGCTTAATAGCTCTTCAGTGATCCATAGTCTTCAAGGAAAAAAAAAGAAGAAAAAAAAAAGGCTAGACAACCTGAATGCCAAATGTTGAATGCACCTTTAAAAATACCCTTTCTGAAAAGTTTTCAGGCCTCCCTTCTCTTTTAAGAGACAAGAGAAACCAAAAATCCAACCAGGAATTTCCCCTGCCACAATCCCCCACCCCGCACATCAATGGAAATTTTTGCAGAGAAGTAGGAATATATGGAGGCCCACAAATATACTATTAAACTGCAACAGAAATGCATAAAAAGACTGTTATAAAAATAGCCATAAACCTTTTTTTTTTTTTTTTTTTTTTTTTTTTTTTTTTTGTTCTACAGATGCAAACTCTCAAGAAACATCTTTCTGTCAAAACTGAAACAGATTGTGGTGTTCAGCAGCACATTTCTCTACTAGGGAAACATTCTTGGTACTGTAGTTTTGCTCTTTGTCTGATGTTTTCTCCAAGGATTTTCTGATTAAACATGGTGATGATGGATGACAGCAGTCATACTACAGTTGCTACTAACACACACAAGCCTTGCCAGAGGTGAAGTAGATGTAATTTGCTTTTATTTAAAAGCTTTTGTTCGATATTACTTTCACAGCCTGATCTGGCACTTGTAGTCAAGCAACATTCCCAGTTCCATCAGCCCTTAAGGTCCTGGTCTGATTTTATGAGGAAAAAAAAAGGGACAGACCTTTGGCTTGATGGTTTTCTGGGATCTCTGCCACAGTCTGGAAAGCAACAAATTCCTCTACCTGGTGGTTTTGGTGTGTGTAGGAAAGGGGATAAATCTTCAGATGACTTGCTGCTGGACACTAGCAGTATCATGGAATGTACTAAAAAATAATAAAAATCCTGATCCTGATTGCTTCTTTGAAGGTAGAGCATAATGATTTTTATATGCCGATAGTAAAATACACAGCCAAGGTACACTATACTAACTTCAATGGAAAGAACAACTTAAAAATTCTAATATGAAAGGGAAAACTTGATAAAACTCTGAGTAATACATGTAAAACATGCATATCAAATGATATTTATACAACATATGAACAAAATAAAGTAGTTCCTGGAAATGGCTGGTGACAGAAACACGGCCAATGATTCCTGGACGTGGAACCTGGACAAAGTCAATCTCTCGGCCCTGTGGGGTCTTACAAGAATCTTTGAACTGGTGGAACTCGTTGGCAATGGTACCTACAAGCAGCAGATTTTGAGTCAGAGAAGAGGAGGAAATGAGGACATGTGAGGGAAAACAACATGGTGACACCAAGGGCAGCAGAAGAAAAGGAGGGGAGGAGATGCCCTAAGTGCCAGAGCCAAGATTGCTCTGCAGGGTGTACTGAGGACTATGGTGGAACAGGCTGTCCTGCTGTAAGGCATGAGGTCTTTGGGAATGCAGAGATCCAGTGGAGATGCAGAGATCCATGGGAGATGAAGAGATCCACGGGGGATGAAGAGATCCATGGAGGGGATGCAGAGATCTGGGGGGGGATGCAGAGATCCAGGGGGGGAATGCAGAGATCCAGCGGGGGGATGCAGAGATCCAGGGGGGGGATGCAGAGATCCACTGGCAGACCATGGGAAAAGTGCTCACACTGGAGAAGGTGGATGCCAAAGCAAGCTGGAATCTATGGAGACACTCCGAGAGAGAGGGCCCTGCTTCCAGAGACACAGAGACAGAGAGCCCTTGCTTCCAAACTACAGCAGCCTGTCCTTAGAGGACTGCACCCCGTGGACAAGTGACCCACGCCACAGGAGTTTTGGGAAACCTGTTTGCCCGTGGGGGGGACTCACATTGCAGCAGTTTTGGCAGGACTGCTGCTGTGAGATTAGAGCCACACTGGAGAAGTTCACGGAGAACTGGCTCCCATGGGAGGGACCCCACGGCATAGCAGAGAAAAAACTCCTCTGAGTGAACAAAAGATCCCGAGTGATGAACTGATCCAAGTCCCCCTGCCCTGACTCCCTGCACTGTTGGTGTGAAAGAGAGAGGGGCTGGGGGAAAAAAAGGTGGTTTAAGGGCTTATTTTACTTCTCATTACCCTCCTCTGACTCTGTTAATAATAAATTTACTTTACAGCTTTGCGTTTGATCCTGCTTTGCCCTTAGAGTGTTTTCTGCCAGTCCTTATCTCAACTCATGAGCCCTCTGTTAATTTTTTCCTCTCCTGTGCCCAACTGAGAATAAGAGAGGGTGAGAGAACAGCTTTTGTGGGTGCCTGGCACTTGGCCAGTGTCAAACCATGACAGACATCATTTCCCTAACCTTGTGTCATTATGGAAAAAAAAGAACCACGTAGCTACAATGTGTTAAAAGACAGAAAAATCCCATCTCATATTTTGATAATACTTCTTTCTTAGCGATTTTGTGTGCCTTGTGTTTTGCATAATGGGACAGATTTATTTATAGATATGTTTATATACTCGTGTATATATATGCCCATGTTCAAAATGATGTTCTTGAAGAAATGTCAGCACTCTTCTCACTGGGAATTCTTCTAGGTAAAGTTCCCCAGTGAATCATGCAGACATCCAAGCACATGTACATCCATGAACATTCATGTTCTTGTACATGAATGTATAGAACCATGGTCAAGTTTTATTATGTTTCTATTTATCTTGTTTCAACCCAAATATTTCCAGAAAAAGGAGATTAACAGATACATCAAAGTCCCAATCAATGTAGCTATATGAAATGTTGTATAAACTGGAGCATGTTTAAGTCACACTGCAGAAAGCCTTGGAGAGGTGCTTTCCAAAATACTCTTGGATTTGAGAACATGCCTTATAAATTACTTTATAAGAGAAGGATAAAGAAAAATTATTTTATCTCCATACCTGATATTGGAAACCACTGACAGCTGAGCTGGGTGAAAGCTGGTTACTGATATGCCTAAAAGCTCTCTTAGATATGGCACTTACAAGGCAAACCCAAGCAAAACATGCCTCCCTATTGAGTTAATAAGAAGTGATATAACTATAAATCTTGTGAAGTTATACATATCTGTCTTCTATTTGGAAAGTGAGTCCCTGATTAAAGACAGGGGGCAGGATCCTGTAGGAATCCAGTTCTATGACTAGAGCAAGTGGAAACTCCAAATAATCCAGCATTTTTAAGAGCATGTTGTTATCATAAGTAAAATATGAATATTTTAAAAGGAAAAAAAAAAGGTCTTACTGAAAGCTGCAAGTCACCTTTTCCATCTTGAAAATATTATCCTCTTTTTTTTCCTTCTTAGTCATGATTTCTTCTTCCTCAGACTTGTCTTAGCCACTCATTCCCTCCTGCTTTCCTTCTGTCTTGGAGATGAATGGGTTTCAGGAATGAACTTCAGAGCAGTCTGAAAGAAAAAAATCTCTTCCAGACTGGCTATTTTTCGATTAAATCCAACAAATGCATATTGCAGGCAATTCAGAAAACTGGTCATAAAACACCCAGTCTTTCATCTCTGTGCTACCTTTTCAGCTGCAGTTTCAACCAGATCAGAAGCAGTTGGCAGACATCATTCAGTACCACTTTCTTGAGGACCCAGGACTTTCTACAACACAAGCTCACCTTTGTTAAAGGAAGATGCTCCTACAAACATGCCACTTTCCCCCATTCTTCCATCACTTACTTGTTTCTGCAGGTGTTTTGTTCTTTTCTTTGAGGGCATGTTGATTTCTTTCTTGTTTAAATCTTCTCTTGAACAGAGTCAACCACCCTCTGGTTTCACAGTCATTGGAGGGATTCCAGCACCTTTTCTCTCTGCATCACTCACTTAACAGCACTTTTTGTCTCCCATTCCACATTCTTTTGAAGATCCCAACTCGGTCTGCAGCAATACTTCACTTAAAAAAAAAGCCCTTCTTTCCTCTTACCCATTCTCCACCCCTGCCTCCCTTCCACCCAATCAGGAGAGTATTAAAAGTAACCATTTTTTCTCAAACCCACTCGGCATTTCTGCCCGTTAGATAAAGAATGTAAGTTTTATATTCCCATTTTAAAGTCTTTCCTTTAAACCACTACTTCAGAGCCTTTTTAACCTGCCTGTTCTAGGGATACAATTTCTCTTACACTTAATTGTCTTCTCTCCTAAAGTTCAGTGTATGATCAAATATTCAAAGGTATCAAGTAGCTCCCAGTTATCCCAGACTTACATCACAGTAACAGAGAAAAATCTGGACTCAAAGCCCCAGAGAGACGTCAATGTTATTTCCATGTACTATAGTGCCTGATAGAAAACACGTGGCTCTGACTTACACAGTGACCTCAGAGGTAGCTTTTTCTTCCCCAGACACATAAAATGCACATAAGGAGAGAATAAGGGCATGGCTAACACAGAGGCAAGCTAAACAGCAGCAGCTTCAGGCTGAGCAGTTTCTGTTTGCTCCACTTTTGTAGGAGATGAGTGGCCAAGTGAAACACAGAGCTTACCAACTGCACCACAGCCCATCCAGGAGCTCGGGAGTGCCAGACTGTCATACAGATTTTTACTTGTTTGTTTGGAAATTAAACCAAACAGAGCAATAAATACTCAGCTTGGTACACCTCAGATCAAATCCTTCATTGTTCTTCATATATATAATGTACAGGGCTGATGCCACCGCAGCATTTCACCTTTAGAAGAGCACCTTGTGTAATGATTATAGTAAGGAATGAGGTGCTGAGAGCCCTAGGTTGTGGTCTTAGTTCTGTTTGAAATTCTTCCACAAAAAAGAGTTTGGAGAGTTTGCTGCAAGGTACTCCATTGACTCCTGGAGCAGGCTGTGATTACACTAACTGGTGTGACCAAGGCTCCACTTCTCCTGCCTCACAAGTCCTCTTCTATTTACTTTCTTAGTAAGAAGAATGTCTGTGCTTCTTTGCTTAAACCTGCTAGTTTGAGGAAAGGTACAGGCTGGCCACTCTCCTGTTGGAATGAGACCACAAGCTGCTGTGAGTGAGAGGGGTCAGTCTGTGCTTCTAGCTCATGCCTGCAGTGCTTGTCAGAATGAGGAACAGGATGATACATCCTGCAGGGAGCTTCCTTTTAATCATGGAACTTGACCATGGTGACAGAACTCTTTTGAGTGAGACCTTTACACGGGTACTCAAAACTAGCCATTAATAATGGATTAAATTGAAATGAACATTGGCTGGTGTACTGCTACTAGTTTCACCCTCCCAACACTTTCCGAAAACTAGAGTTTATATAAACCCTCTTTATCTGACTCATGATTGCTTCAGATCCATCCCAACAGCCTTTACAATATTTGAATGCTCTGTAATTTCATTAGTCTGGCTTTTTTCACAGATGTTTTTGCTGTGTTCTGATGATATTAAAGTAAATCATGCAACATTACACTCGCTTTTTAGTGATGACCACCCAGCAAGTAAAACTACAGCAACAACAAGAAGAAAAACCAGAAGTCAAGAGACTGTGATTGTTGCTTTTTAAAGTTTTTCTATACTCAGGATATCAGGCACTTCTCCCCATTTTAATGGCCTTATGTAACTAAAGCACTTTTCACATGTTTGGGATAGTACTTACAACACTGTAATGTATTTGTGGCACTGCTTGTCCACACAACAAATATTCCCTAAAATGTGCTCAGGGGTCTGAATCACAAAAGGGAATGGTTTATTTTATGATCCTTTTTGTGGCTGCTGTCTCCAGTTGTCCTTTGAACATCTCTGCAGAGTTGCCTCAGTCACCAATCTGCAGTGAAAGGAATCCAGACTTGCTACAACTTCACCTCAGTGCAAACTACAGACTGTGAGCAGCTGCCACGTGGAGAGATGAGACAACACCACAGCAAGTGTGGGAAGAGGGTCAGCATGGACCTCTTCCTGAGAAATCACTATTCACTGTGGATTGAGTCATCTGTGTTTATCAGCCACAGCCCTTTAGGTCTAAGTTGTCATTTAACATATTTTTAACACAGGCCCAGAAGTCTTTAGGGAACTATAAATAGGACCTGAAGCTATGATAAAGCTTATTTTGCTTAAGAGGTGAAATGAGGTTTATTGTAAATAAACATTCAGGTGAAAGCTTTTCAAAAGGCATGGTTTTTGGAATTTATGACAAGAGATATAATTTAAATAAAGTGAG